CCCCAAAACCCCAAAACCCCAAAACCCCAAAACCCCAAAACCCCAACATGCACTTCACCCTTTGAAACTTTAAAACTTAGTGTAAATTCTCTTGTCTTCTCAAGAAAGCTAATTTCTTGTTCAGAGCACTTCTCTCGATCTTCAAATTGTCCATATGTTGTGAATTCTCTCTTTCCTTATCCTTGATGTACTTCTTGTACAGAGAACTCTTGCGATCGTGGTCGTAACCGAAGAAGATAGCATAGATTATAGCAATCACTAACATTATTGGGTGAGCCACAGTCGATTCGAGAATTGATTTCACTGAGGAGTTACTAGTAATTTCGTCTACAACAGGCTGACTAGCCTTTGATTTATTCGTGAATGGACCACAAAGAGTTGAGGTGTCGCTCACCCAACTGCTGTGAGGAACCTTCATTAGTAAGAATAAGGCATACAAAAAGCTACAACAGATGAAAGTGCCATTTAGAAATAGCATGATGTAGTTTCCTGTTGTCACTTGATTTGTCACCATCTGTGGCGAGATTTTCCAATTTCTTAATCGGTAAAATATGAATTTGAAATGGATATATAATACTATTGGAGCTAAAATAGCTAGGTAGGGATAAAAGATGAAGGATACCCAAATGATCGATTGGAAATATATCAACCACACTACTTCATCAGTTGTTTCAAACTCCTTTCTCCAGTTGTTTAAGCCTTGACACTTGGCTTTGATTCTGTAATAAATAATCCAACCGAAATAATAAAGATATCTCTGGATTAATTCGACAACGAATAATTGTAGAATGTTAATTCCTGCCAGATCTTCCCTTCATTCGTAATCAGTTCCGTTTGAATTAGCCTCTGTGAAGCTAATAAGAGTTTCATTTCGAATGAAGGGATCATCGATAGCCATTTCAAGCTGCACAAAGACAAAAATAGCAAAGTTAAGCATTTGTGCCAAATAATTTCTCCAGATTTCATGTTTGAGCTGATCAATAGCAAAATCCCACTTCTCTCACTCAGTTATCCATCCAAGGCATTTTGGAACAATGTAGTTAACAATTGTCAAAATAATAGCAGCAGAATATGTTGAAATTTCCTTCACTATAGGGATATCTTTAGCAGCATCATTGATCTCTGATTCATAAATACTTCCAATCAGGATAACCAGCCAACCAATTAGAAGAATTATGATACTCAGCGTCATTAGAAAACCTCTGATGATATATATCCTCATCTTATCACCACTAGTTCTTTGCTTGACAATTTCTTTCTTTTTGTCTTCATAGAGCATCACTTTGAGGATAGTGGCAATTCCATCCTTGTTATGCTTCGAGTCACCAGATCTGTTGGTACGCCAGTCCCAGCTATTGAAGAACTCTCTAGAAAAGAAGTTCTCTTCCTTATTGAAGAATCTCTGTCTTTTAGACTTATAATCTACTTTTACCCATTTGTAGATAAACAGAATAGCTCCGATGACGCAGAAGAGGAACAGAGCAAATGAATACCTGAGAGCAGAGTTTGTTGAAAATCTAGAGTATAAAGTGAAACATGGATAAAAAGTAGCACATAGGTCTGTAAAACCGCCATTGTAATCGAATATATGCATCGTCAAGATGTATCCAAATCCCAAGGCTGTGAGGATATTGAAGTTCACCAAGAACCTGAACATGTTAAAGAAGGATTCAATTGACTTATCATATGCCAGTCTAATACGATTCAAGTCATTTTTGAGTGGAATTAAAAACCTGTAGATTCTGCGAACCCTTCCCATACATCTTTGTCATGCGGTTTTATGTTCTTTGATACCAGTCAGTCTTGCTTCTTTGCCTTCCATATAGTCCAAAGCATTGATAAGAGCTCTTTTTAACTTTCTTCTTTCCCTCTCAATCTTCATTTCATGGAGCTTAGCTGGGTCTCCGACCATAAATAAATTCAAATTCTTTTCGTCCTCCTCTTCTTCATAATTGACCAGCTTGATTCCTTTCTCTATAGCTTCTTCTAGCTCCTTGATGTCTTCTTCTATTTCATCATTTCTTTGTTCTAATTTGGCATTTTCTTTCATGACCTCCATGAGAGCAGTTCTGAATTCGTCCTTCTTGTCTACAAGTTGGTTGGAATGCTCTACCAGCTGGTTAATTTTGACCTGCTGGACTGTTAACTTCCTATCAGCTTCTTTGTCCTTCTCGAAAGCATCTCCGTAGTCATCTTTGAACTTCTTGATTTTATGCATGTCATCTTCGAAGATAGCATAAGCTTCAGGCTCTTCTTCTTCGTCAAGATTGGCCTGATATTGCTGAGGGCTTGCCTTTATATAGCTATCGTCAGGCTGCTCTTTTAGTAACGACTGTCTTTCAGGTGTTCCCTTTCTGTAACTGTTTTCATTTCTAGCAGGAGGGTTTGCCGATCCGATGAACCCAGGATTTTGATCTCTTGAAGGAGCTTGTCTTGGCTGCTCCCTCATTGGAGAAACTGTATCTCTCTCAGGTCTTGGGCTTTGAGAATTCATAAAATTATTGTTAAAGAAAGGTGGCTCTACGTAGGGATTCGTCTTTGCAGGCTTCTCCACTGTTTTGACTTTCATCTTTCTACCAGGAGCGATGTTAATAAACGAAGCTCCATTTTCATCATCTGACATTTTAATGTCTTTGGTACTAGAAATTTAAAATTATAACCTCTATTTTCAATATTTTACCTATCCTAGGGGTTTTGGGGTTTTGGGGTTTTGGGG